CCTGCCGGCCTGGGCATCCCCCGGCCCTCAGGGAGCCCCCAGCCCCGCAGTGCCCCGACAGCTACTGACTTGTTAAAAATTACAGGTGCCTTTTTTTTCCTCTCTTCCCACCAGTTTGTCTGCCTTTTGTAACTGTTAGAGCTTGTCTTTCAGATTGCAAACTCTACACGCCAGATTTTACCGCATGGTCCTCCTCTGCGTAGCACAGTGGGCTTTTATACTCTGTACAAGTTTATACTGAATAAAAGTATTAATGTGGTTTTCATAGTAGAAGAGGTATAATTATCTCTTCCTCTCAGATAAGAAACTGAGATGGTGATTAAGTGCCTAACACAGTCACCAGAGAAGTCATCGGCAGAGCGAGGATGAAACCACAGACTTTCTTGATTTTTCCACCCAGCACCCCTATTTAAAATCTCAGGGATGCACACCTGGCTAAAAACATTCCTAATTATGGATTTTGGTATAGAAAGTCACAGAACTATAGATAATTAAACAAAAAGAGCTGAATGGAAAAGTCCATTTTATGGTAGTGAACTTGAAAATACTAGGGTTGGAAAATTCTGTTATTGTACTCCTTCCTCACCCCCAACCTTTTTGTCAATATATCAAACTGAATTTTAAAGACGTGATTATTCATAAGATTATAAAAATAACATTTCCTAACACTCAATAAAATAGTAGACAATTTACTTCATTGAAGGAGAAAGGTAGCTTTTATATTTTCAAAAGTTTCTAATACCCTACAGTTCTTTTTGCTGTATTGGCTTTTGATTGCAAAGAGCAAGGAGCAGTAAGATGTGACAGACCTATTGAGTATTTGATTCTCTAAAGGTATTGAAGTCTGTAATACATTTGAATGGCTGTATTTCTGCATTTATACCACTTATTTCACCTCTATTAAAATCTCCCACCCATATTATTTCTTAATTAAAATAGAAGTAAAACAATCATTCCCTGCCAAGTATCATTTGGAGCAGTCTCGTGATCAGCTACATACCAAGCCTAACTCTTGCCATTATTGTAGCTATAATTAATATGCAGATTAGTTGCTGTTATGTAATATTTGTATTCAGTTGGGATATTTTATATTTTTCATCTACATGGCTAGCTTCTTAGCTTACTTAATTGGCAGTTAAGTATTAAGAAAAGTTTATTCCCAAGTCATTATGTAATTGTGCAGAGATCATTAAAGGAGATTTAAAGGCTGCTTTCATTTACACTGTGTACAAATCAGTCCTGTTATTAACTGTATAGTCCTGTTCCATTGCTATTTTTTCACCTCAAAGCATTGAGTATTCAACAATGCAACCTGAAAAAGGTGCTTTAATAAATAAATAAATAAATAAATAAACAAACCTGACAGTGATGGTAATTGCTTAATTATTTACAGGCTCAGTAGCTACAAGTAAGGTAATACAATCTTTATCCACTCTGCTTACCTGTTCTGCTTACCTGTTTTTTCACAAAGTGTTCTTTATTTTACTTGCTTGATGACAGAAACATTCAGGTAGATTAAGTGAGAAGCAGCACATTTCATGAAATATATATTTTCTGAACTTAATGACAAAATGAAAGAGAATGCATGATGAGAAGGGGTATACAGGAATCAGGACTCACTGTTCTACCCATGATTTGACAGAGACCTGGACCAGAAACTTCAATGCTTTGTCGTGTATTTTCAACAATAAATAGTGATTTAGATTACACAAGTGCTGGGATGTGTAAAGCAGACTTCAAAAAGGGAAAAGACACTCAAAAACAGTTTTCATTTTTGCAAATGTAGTCCTGCCTCCTTCACTTTACCTCTGTCTAAAATATCTGTACAAACATAGAACTAGTGCACAGACGCTCCATTCAACCCAGGGCTGTATGAAATAAAAATCAGAAAATTACTATGAAAACTTAAAACATCATCTGAGAATAATTTGCCTTTTTAGAAGCCCTAAAAAAACCGAGGACACTATGAAGACAACCTGTCTGAAGTATGGTACTGAAAAAAACCTTGGTATCTCATTAAGGTATGCTAGAAAACATAGGAAACAGGCAGGTAATGAGGGAAAAGAACTGGGTTACAGTCTGGTGAAACAAAGGACCTCTGATACTCCTGCTTATCTAACATTTAACTACTATGAACAGCACACAAAAATCATGCAGTATCAACTGTAATGAGAATACAGGGCATCGAGTCATGCCCACATCACACAAGAGGAAGCAGTATGCTCAATTTAAGCAGCTGTTTAAAAACAGTAATACCAGTGGAGCAAGCCCAGTACCGGCCTCGGAATTCCATCCTAGAGAACATGAGATGAGACAGGGCCTGCCAGAATGGTAGTGGCACCTGGTTTGAAGTATGCAGTAATAAAACAGTAATAAAATGTAGTTTGGGGAAGTTAGGGAAGGGCTGCTTTAGATAATGATGCCAGCAACTTGTGATTTTATCTCTATTAACTGCCCCTCAATTAACAGCATTGCATTCCTAGAGCCTGCATTTTAAGAAATGTTTTATATCAGATCAACAACACTTTCATACTAGCCACTCTTATACACTGGAA